TCCAGTCTGGGCGACAGAGTGAGACTCCAACTCAAAAAAAAAAAAAAAAAGAGAAAAAAAGCAAAGCTCACTCATTGCCACCTCTTCCAAGAAACCTCTATTTAATCCCTTTAATGCTGACTCTTCTTATGTGGTATTTTCTTTGTCCTCTCTCTTTCACAGAACATGGCTGCTCTGACCCCCTGTGTCTCCAGCATCACCTGGGCCCCCTGAAGCCCTGGCGAGTGTTTGATGAAGTGACTGTATCTTCGGGCTGCCTCAGCTGTCACTTAAAGTGTCTGCAGTTGGTTTTGTGTAGATTTCTTGTTCTGTTCTATGCCCCAGCCATTCTCAGAGTAGCAGTGTTTGATGTCACCTGCTGACCCAACCTGGGACCTCCCTAGGCTAGCAGGTCCCAGGACCCAGGATACCTGAGTCCTAGGGTACCTGGGCCCCAGACATAGCTCCTGTCCCACCCTGGTCCCGGACTCTGCCAATGGCCGATTCCCTTCCACGTGCCCAAGGCAGGGCTCATAGGGTCTGCTTCCTGCCGTGCCCCCCACCCCTGCATCACTCCCTTCGCTCCCCACCCCCTCTCAGGGCTGAGCCAGCCTCAGAGAAGGTTCTAGAATCCTCCAGTCGGAGCAGATGGAGTCTTTGCCTTCCTTGGGTTACAGATGGGGAAACTGAGGAACAGAGAGAGCAGGGACCTGCCTGAGGCCACGGCAGCCCCCACTTTGGGCAAGTCCTCACATCTCAGTCTCCAGTCTCACTCAGAGTGGTGGCTTCTTGTAGCCTGGAGCCCCCAGACAGAAGGACGGAGTCCCAGGAGTGAGGGAGTCCCGGGCCTAGGAGAAACACCATGTCCTGGGCCTCCACAGGTTGCTCAATTCAGCCTGGGTCAGGCCAGGTGGGGACATACAGCCGCAGGTGGGGACATACAGGTGCAGACATTCAGCCTGGGTCAGGCCAGGTGGGGACATACAGGCAGGTGGGGACATCAGGCCAGGTAGGGCGGGGGGTAACAGCCACTCACGGGTGGGGCTTGACCCGGATGTAGTTCTTGGGAATAAACCCCTCGGCACCCCGGAGCTCCGCCTTGTACCAGTTCTGGTCATCTTCCATGTTCAGGATCTGTGGGCAGGAGACACACGGCCACTCAGTCACTGAGAAGGGATGACTGTCACCTGCTGAGATCCCGCTGCATGCCAGGATTAGGGGGCTCACTGGCACCACTCCTGTGCTCATTCACAGAGGAGGGCTGGGGACCCCCAGGTTGGGGACCTGCCCAAGGTCACAAGGGCTGAGTTAGGACCAGCCATCTGATTCCACAGTCCTGCCCGTGCCTGGCTCCAGGACAGCCTGTCCTCAGGAGGTTCACAGCTCCCCAGGATGGGACAGTTGGGTTGAGAGTTTGGGGTGGCTGGAGAAGGACATTTGTTTGTTTATTTTGGGTTGGAGTCTCACTGTGTCACCCAGACTGGAATGGAGTGGCACACTCACGGCCACTGCAGCCTCCTGCTGGGCTCAGGCGATTCTTCCATTTCAGCCTTCTAAGTAGCTGGAACTAGAGGTGTATGCCACCATGTCCAGCTAATTTTGATTTATTGTAAGGATGAAGTCTCGTCAAGTTGCTCAGGTTGGTCTGAAACCCAGCAGTTCTCTGGTTTCCACCTCCCAAAGTGCTAGGATCACAGGCGTGAGCCACTGCATGCGGCCCTATTTATTCATATTCGTTTGAGTAGGGCTCTCACTCTGTTACCCAGGTGGGCATGCAGTGGCATGATCACAGCTCACTGCAGCCTCAAACTCTGAGGCTCAAGTGATCCTTCCGCCTCAGCCTCCCGAGTAGTGGGACTACAGGTACGTACCATCATGCCCAGCTAATTAAAAAAAAAAAAATTTGTAGAGATGAGGGCTTGCTCTGTTGCCCAGGCTGGTCTTGAACTCCTGGGCTCAAGTGATCCTCCTGCCTCGGCCTCCCAAAGTGCTGGGAATATGGGCATGAGCCACCATGCCTGGCCTGGAGATGGTCTTGAAATTGCCTATATAATATTAATATAGGGCAAAAGCTATGGAAAATACCTAGGTCCTAGGCTGGGCTCAGTGACTCAGCCTGTAATCCCAGCACTTTGGGAGGCCAAGGTGAGTGGATTGCCTGAGCCCGTGGGTTCGAGACCAGCCTGGGAAACTTGGCGAGCCCTCATCTTTACAATAAATTTTTAAAAATTAACTACAAGTAGTGTGCACCTATAGTTCCGGCTACCTGGAAAGCTGAGGCAGGAGGATCGCCGGAACCCAGCGGGTCGACACTGGGGTGGCCAGGATTGCCAATGCACTCCAGCCTGGGAGACAGAGTGAGACTCCAACTCAAAACAAAAAAAACCTAGGTCCTGCCAAGAAGATTTACAACTCCGTGGTTTCTAAGTTCTCTCTCTAAGCCTACCTTCTTCCTTGCATGACTGCTTGCACATAGTGGCTTCAAAGGAGGGCGTCACTAATAATCGCTTATCTTCATGTCCTGATGTCCTAGGAAAGCCTCCTGTGAGATTGATGGACTTATTTTCCCTTAAGCAACAAGCCGTGTGTCCTGCAGGCCCCCTGGTGGCATCCAGGAGTTTGACTGGTCTGCACGGCTTTCTGTAAAGCTACAGGCCAAGGTCAGTGCTAACAAGCCCAGCCGTTGACCCCTAGTCGGCTTCCCCATGAGGCTTACTGCCCAGGAGCCAGGTCACTGGGCGTCACGAGACTTGTAACTTCCCCAGTTGCTGTTGTAAAGCCTCTCTGAGATGTTTTTCAGACTCTGGTTGGACAAGCTGACTCGACAGGTTCCAACCTCTGCGGCTCTGTACACGAAGACAGTTTCAACACCCCTGTGACTTCACCTCCACCTAGTTGTCAGTGCTTGTTCCCCTAGGCCCATCTGCCAAATTTAAAAAAATTATTATTATTTTTTGAGTTGGGGGTCTCACTCTGTCGCCCAGGCTGAAGTGCAGTGGCACAATCATGGCTCACCACAGCCTCAATCTCCTGGGCTCAGGTGATCCTTCCACCTCAGCCTCTCAAGTAGTTGGGACTACAGGTGCACACTACCATGCCTAGCTAATTTTAAAGTATTTTTTTGTAGAGACGAGATCTTGCTATATTGCCCAAGCTTGTCTTGAACTCCTGGCCTCAAGTGATCCTCCTGACTTGATTTCCCAAAGTGCTGAGATTACAGACATGAGCCACTGCACTCAGCCTGTCTGCCAAATTATCTTTAAAAATTCGCGCCTTGGCGGGGCACGGCGGCTCAGCCTATAATGCCAGCACTTTGGGGAACTGAGGTGAGAGGATTGCCTGAGCCCGGGAATTCGAGACCAGCCTGGGCAACTTGGTGAGACCTCGTCTCTACAATAAATTAAAAAATAAGCCAGGTGTGGTAGTGCGCACCAGTAGTGCCAGCTACTTGGAAGACTGAGGTGGGAGGAAGGATCACCTGAGCCCAGCAGATCGAGGCTGTGGTGGCCATGAGTGTGTCACTGCACACCACCCTGGGCAACAGAGTGAGACTCCAACTCAAAAAAAGAATAAAATAGCAAGGCTCGGTGGCTCAGCCTGTAATCTCGTGCCTTTGGGAGACTGAGGTGAGTGGATTACCTGAGCCCGCAGGTTCGAACCCACCTGGGCAACTTGGCGAGACCTCATCTCAACAATAAATCAAAAAATCAGCCGGGCGTGGTAGTATGCACCTGTAGTTCCGGCTACTCGGAAGGCTGAGGCGGGAGGATCGCGGAGCCCAGTAGGTTGAGGCTGCGGTGGCCGGGAGCGGCCACTGCACTCCAGTCTGGACGACAGAGTGAGACTCCAACTCAAAAAAAAAAAGAATAAAATAAAAATAAATTAAAATTCAAGCCTAGAAATTCTCAGAGGTAAATTTGAGAAATACCGCCCATCTCCCGCTTGGATGCCTTGCCATCATTACACTCTTTCTCTACTGCAACAGCTGCTGGCTCAGCAAACCGGCTGTCTGTGCAGTGGGCATAAAAACCCATCAGATAGTGATGCTGTTTCAGGCTCTGACCCCAGGTCCCCAGCAGACCAGAGTGGGGGGCTCCTGGCCAGCAGAACTGGGGACCTCCATTCCTGAGCTGTATCCCTGAGCTCGAGGGGCCCGCAGCATTTGCACGCCATGCACCGAGTCTTGGGGTGAAAGTCAGAGGTCCCCGGGAAGGTCGGGGAGCCCAGCCTGAGCTCAGCCCCTAGTAATCGCCTACAGTCACTTGCATTTAAACAGCCCTTTCACAGGGCTAGGAGGCTCACGCCTATAATCCCATTATTCTGGGAGTCCAAGACAGGAGGATTGGTGGAACCCAGGAGTTTGAGACCAGCCTGGGCAACATAGTGAAACCTTGTCGCTCTAAAAAAATTTTTAAAAATGAGCCAGGCATGATAGTGTGTGCCTGTAGTTCCAGCAACTCGGGAGGTTGAGATGAACCCAGGAGGGGAGCCGTGATGGTGACACTGCACTTCAGACCCTGATTCAAACAAATAAATAAATAAATAACCTTTTCAGTCTGAGTTCAGGGACGATAATTCAGCGGGGGGATTTCAGGCACTGGGGAGTATGTCAAGGGGGCCTCTGGGCTGCACAGGCTGATGCTCAGTGGTGGCCTAGCCTGCTGGGTCACATGGGCTCCTCCTTCAGGCCTGTGAGCTCCCCCTCCCCCACCCGCAGGTGGACCAAGAGGAACCGAAATAGCCAATCGCGTGGGTAGGAGTCAGGCCTGGGAGGGCACAGTGGGCAGCTCGGGGCCTCTTCCCCCACTCCCTGGGCTCACTTTCCGTGTGCCACCCCCGTTTTCACATGCTGTTTTTCGGATGATGAAACTGAGGCCCAGAGAGGGGAAGTCACTAGACCGAGGCCACACAGCGGGGAAGAAGCAGAGTGAGTCTGATCAGCCAGGACTCTGAGGCCTGGGGGCTTTGGCTGAGCTGGTCTTGGGGGGCCCTGGCCCACAGGTTTCACCCTCCCCCCAGTTCACTTCCCGCTTTGTCTCTGGACCCAAGCCTGAGGGGACATCTCTCCTGTCAGTCCTGGAGCAGGTCCAGCATTGGCTCAATCCTAGTGGGCATGTTTGTTAACAGAAAAAGTTGGGTATAGCGTACCAAAGGCTCGGGGCCTGCTGGTGTAGGGGCATCAGCTCAGGCAGTGACATTTTGCCAGGAAGAGCTGGGAGTGGCTACCCTGGGCCCAGGCCTGAGCCCTCATACTGGCAGATGTCTCCTCCTGTCTGTCCATGGCCAGGCTGAACCTCTTCCTTCCTGCCCCTGCAGTCGGGGCATGGTCAGCAGCCCCAGGGACGCCGGAAACAGGTGGCTGACTCAGGAAAACTTTCGCTGAGCACAACACAAAACAAACAACTCCCCCAACCTAAAGAGAAAATGAAGGCCGGAGGCTACCCGCCATAGACACAGATTCCAGGAAGATGCCCTGGAACCTGGGCTCTAGGCCACTCTGTCTGCTTCTGACTCTGTGGCCTTGGCCTCTGTGTCATTTGTGGCCTGCGCAGAACTTGGCAGTGTCTCATGGACAGTGGTGACCTGTGTGGACACGTGAATGTGAATATAATATATCTAACCCAGTTCCTGTTTTGTTTTGTCTCACTTCCCTGTCATCTCCACTCAGATGACCCAGGAATGTCATCGTAGGTTACACTAGCTGGATTCTTTTTTTTTTTGAGTTGGAGTCTCACTCTGTCACCCAGACTGGAGTGCAGTGGCACGCTCGCGGCCACAGCAGCCTCGACCTGCTGAGCTCCGGCGATCCTTCCGCCTCAGCCTTCCAAGTAGCTGGAACTACAGGTGCGTGCTACCACGCCCGGTTAATTTTTGAATTATTGTAGAGATGAGGTCTTGCCAAGTTGCCCAGGCGCGTCTCGAACCCGCGGGCTCAGGCAGTCTTCTTACCTCAGCCTCCCAAAGCGCTGAGATTACACTCTGAGCCACCGAGCCCGACAACTAGCTGGATTCTTACTGTTAACATTGTTCGGGGCCAGGTGTGGTGGCTCACTCCTGTAATCCCAGCAATTTGGGAGGCTGAGGCGAGAGGATTGTCTAAGCCCAGAAGTTCAAGCCCAACCCAGGCAACATGACA